GCGGCAAGTCGACAGGCGAAATCTCAATGTCGCAGGCATGAAATCATGGGTGCTTGAACACCCTCAATTTACCTGGTCCACCGCCCATCTCTTTACCACTATCAGAGGGATGGTGTGCGCCTTTTCCCTGAGGGTTGGCGTATGTCGGGACAACCTGCAGACGTGTATTTTGTGTTTACTATGAGGGGACCTGTTGGCCATCGGTGTTGGGCGTTCTTTTCAAAGCAAACGCCCAATGTTATCAATCATAAGGATTAGACAGCTCTTATAAACATGTATTATAGGTCATTACCAATGTCACCTCTCATCTCAACTGCTAAGGTGTATGTGAAAAGTATGTATGGTGCTTTGATGTGCCACATTGCCTATTTAACTATGTACCAATGGGGGACTTTAACATCTTTGTGAACATTATTTCTAATTAATAGCCTGTGACGTTCCATACGGACTATACCCAGCCGCATGTTCCAGCGGTTGGAACCATGATGTACATAAAGTGCTTAAACAGTTATATGTACTGTTATTACCAGTTCAAAGGCTTCAGTTTTGATAGGTTACGCAAGTTGATAAAGTTAATTTCACTTGGTAGCGTTCTTCGTTGTTATAAACATATTTTATAAGCTTACTATGGTTGTTATTTGGAAATACAAATGACAACTGATTGTTTTGTTTGAGGTATTTACATGAAAATTGTGTATAGCGATCAGTGGTATCGCTAGGCGTCTTTAATTGTACCTAATTTGGTATTCAGGAAAATGATCAGCCGTTGGGAATGGTCGATAGCGGTGGTCAAGAAGATCAAGGGGATCACCGTTCATGGTTTTTCAAGGTAGCCAGAGGTACGGCCTTTGGTATTTCGGTTGAAAGTTGAGAATAAACACCTGAAGCTGTGGCTCTCAGACACTCTCAAAAAGCTTATTGCTCCTGCCCATTTTCCCTGTATTTTGAGTATAATAAATTTATTAAAATTAATTAAAAGAATGAACCGCCTGGTGGATGATCAGACTATACAGTGCGTCGCTTGTCATTTTGGCGTCTTATTGTTTCTCATTATCCCGTGTTTCTTAGTGGGAGGTTGATAGAAGACTAAAGTGAAACCATAATGTCCTCATTATTGTGACCATTGACGCACTCGTACGTCTCATTAATATCCCCGAAGCAAACACCGTAGTTTGCTTCTTCATTTGTGAGATGTTCATCCAAGAGGAAGGACATACAGAGTAAGTACTTTGTCTTTTTGCGTACATTAACTACGTATTATCCAATACCAAAATGCAGTTTTTATATATGAAAAGGATAGTTAATACACCAACGTTCTGCATGCTAAGGGCTCAAGTATGGAGAATGAGTAATGTAGCATTATAAAGGTGATATCTCATTGGGATAAATGAAGTCGTGAATACTCTGTGAGTATGGGTGCATCGGAGGTACTCAACGTTTTGGACAGTATGCCCTGTCCATCGTCAGGAAAAGCTCCTCTGGGAAACATGAACTTGCATAGCAGTCCCAGCACTATGATTATTTTCTGCTCAGTTCCATACTAATCAAATAACGTTCTCAACATCGCTTTAGATACCTTTGTCCATTCAAAATTCATCATTTTTTTAAATGAGTGTAATTTTCTTATAGTGATAAAATCTCATGACTCAAAAATATTGCCCGATGTTTTTGGACGTTTCGATTCCCATATCTGCAAGTTTCGTTTGATACGACATTATACATGTACTAATTAATAGCCGCTGCAATGTGTCGCTGTAATGCTCCGATATACACCTGCAATATTTGTACACATGGACTGGTTATAAGGTCAGCTAGTGAACGCCTATTCCCGTGACCTGAACAGGATTCCATTTCCCTTGGCCGAAGGTCCCATTTCTAGTGGATGAAGGCGGAGGGAAATGGGACGCTCTTTTCTAGTCACTCACAGGCCGGAGCTGAGGGGGGCACAGACCGGCAGCGACCGAACGCCACGCGTTTTGTAACGCACCTCTGTCAAAAATGAAAAATAAGGCAAGAAACTTTTCAGAATTTATAATTGAATAGTTTTAATTCAACCATTTTAATTCAACAAAAAGCAGTTCCCTAACTCAGTTTTTGAGTTGTTGTTTCCCGTTCGTGTCACGTCCGAAGAGGGCGCTGGGAAGGGCTGAGGACCTTGCATATATTTTTAGTGAAGGAAATACGTCACACGGGTCACAAGCATTGTGGGTAAATTTCTGCCAGGTGCACGAGGTCGCTCAATACGTTACATAAGCGGTGGTTATTAATTTGATATTTTTGTCTTTTTCCTCCTCAATGCTGAAAATATTCTCACTACACTTTGTTCGTTCATCCAAAATTGATGAAGATAACCAATGATTTGAAATATATCAGCAAAAGACACGTGATCAGCGATACTTTACACTGAGAATATACCACCCTTTGATTGTACCAAGGCCATGTTTAGTGCAACCCTTGATCTCCATTATGGAGACTAATTAGGATATCGCACACTGCGTGTGTACAAAATGTGCGGCCGAGCAACGGTAGTGCGCTGCGCTCCATGAGTGTTACGTGATCGGGCAAAGTTTTCACTTTGGGTCGGTTCAGTTGTGATATGTTGAGTGTGTAAACATTAAAGTTCCTCCAAGACCTGCAGTAGGTCTTACATTATGATGTCAAAATTATTCACGTGTTTTTCCGTCAGATTTCAATGAACCAACACTGAAAAACTTTATTAATAAAATGAAATAAAATCTTAATTTTACACACTCGCAGGAAACATTGTACTGAAATTCACTGACGTACTGAATAAATTGATCGATAACCGACAAGTGTGGGCATCTATTCTGTGAGCACAAATAGGGCAGAGCTATGGCTGCAAGCCAAACTAATTAAATAATAAGTACCACCCAGTTTACCACAGGCACTTATAAAACGGATAAAAATATTGAGTTCCCAACTTGACTAAAGATTTACATTTAGGAACTACTTTCCCAAAAGAAAAAAGTCAGTGTTAACTGAGAAAGAATAATTTTCGAATTTAGACAAAGTGTCATTCATTGCGTTGACTGAATTTCCTTATTTGTTACTTCACTGCACTCGACGGAAACGTCAGCTCTCTGTCTCTCGCTTGAGTTTCATCTCTGCCCTGAAAATGAATATTCTGTCACTCATATATCACATCGTCTGTGACAAGATTTGTGTTCAGTGCCTCTGCAAATCTGACAAACACAACAAATAATGGATATCTTCGAGATTTTCCCGGTGAAATCCGAGGAAAATAAACGACAAATTATTCATTCAGTTTTGACACCACTTGTGCCAATAAATAATATTTTAGACAGTCCCAACCTCGATATGGTGAAGTCTCATAAACTAAGTCAGACAGGCTAGATACAATTTCATAAATGTCTTACTATATTTGTAAATTGGCTTAAAGTCAAACATTATCCGCCCCGAGCTGAAGTGCACCCCCAATCGGCAAAAGAAAACCAGGTGGTCACAAGTGGGTTCTTGCACGCGTTCTATTTGTACGAAAAGACCTTACAAGCTGGAATAAATTAGTTACGCGTACTCAGCGTCGTGTCAAACGCGCATATGCTTGCACGCCTCATGGCGCGCCTGCAGTGAGTATGCACAAGGCATGCAGAAACTTTCTGAATGTGCGACTCACGTCAAAAGTTGCTCCTTCCAAACTACATTCACCATCGATCTACGGCAATTCACTGCTGCGCACACCTCAACCATTATTCTTTCCAGATTTATTTTTGTTTTTTGGACTGCTTGCTCCGGCTTACTGTGGGGTGGTCAGCCTCAAAATATTTTCCTTTTAGCGGGGCCGTGGGGTAATTTTCTTCCTTGTTGTCTGTCTGCCCAGTCCTTATGTTTTGATGTCATCCTCTATTTATTATGTTTGCTGTTCTCCTTTTTATTATCTTGGTTTTCTTTTCCACTATCCCGTTTTTCTTCCTCTTGTCCTTTCCTTTGTGTCTATGTGGGGTGTTTACAAATTGCTGGGATTGTTGTTGTGATGTCCCTCGTTTTGTGTTTATTTGTGTGTCTGGCTGATTGTTGTGCAGGGGTGGAGTGGCACGCCCTTTTGGCGAAAGTGGTATTTTTCACTCTTGTTTTTCTCCAAGGCAGTCCTGCACTGTCCTCGTTTTTTTTTCTTATGCATGTCTGTTTTGTCTGTCTCTTGCTTAATAATTCATCGTCTTTTATATTGAGTGACTGTTTACCTATTTATTTGTGACTCATTGTCTTTATTTCTGTGTTTGCCTTTGTATTTCTACATGGTTACATTTATTTATGTGTTTATCATTATTTCTGCGTTTGTGATCCTTATTTCCATGAATGTTGCGTTATTTTCGTGGGTGTAATTTTTCATCCTTTTGGCCGCCCATATTTTCATGCAAGTCGCGTTTCCCCCAGCGTGTTGGTAGAAATGCGTAGACAGGCGGCACCAGAGCTGCATGTGCAGAGTAGCGGCAGCTTCAAACTTTGGAACCGAAATGGCTGTTCATTATGTGTGCAGCACTGGATGCAGCTATTGTGTGCTATTGTCTTCAGTATGCACTGACGGATAAATGGACAATTTTGATTCCAGCACGAGACACTTACGTCGCAACACTCTCTAGAAACAGCTCTGGGCGCCGGGTCCAGACTGCGCCCTCACTTCCGCTGTACAGCAAGGCTGGGATTTTCATCTGTAGCTTACAAGTTGCATGAACTTAGCTTAGCTGTGACTCCATAACATATCTTCTACCGTGGACATACGTATTACAAAAAATGTGATGTTAACTCTAACCGAAAGCCAAGAAGCTGAAGTTTCAAAGAAAGGAATAAACATGTTCTGATTTTTACGATGAAAAACAAAGAATTCAGATGCGCTATTGTGGGAAAGCTGAACAGTAGACCTATAAATTATCACTTGTTGGTCCATTGTAATCTGTTTTTATTTTCAATCCTATTGCAGGTGTTGTTATGAGTTGAATAAATCACAACCTTATGATGTCAACATGGCTTTAGAAAGGGGTCTTTCTGATGATAGTTTGGTGGATGGTCGCACTAACAACCTGGCATCAAGTTTGGGTTCTATGAGTCAGGTTGATGAGTCAATACGAGAAGCTATCCAAGAGACCAAGAGCACACTTTGTTCGGCAACACCATTAACACCAGTCGGCAAGAGGAAGCAGATGATTAAGATGCTGACCTTGACCCTCATGCCTATCATTGTTCTGACTGCATTGGCAATCTCAGATTTGATTGCAACCCTGACCAAAAGCATCGATGCTATCGAAATAAGACGTAACGTACGTTTCAGTAGACAGGTAAACATGCCATTGAATTTTAGATGTCTTTGGTTTTATACTTTTGTCTTTTTTATCTATGTTCAAAAATTCCAAACAAGGGCAGCGTAACCCCAGAAGTATTACAATAATTCTAATTCGATTTGAAAGTATTTGAACTGAACATCAGTTATTGCACTTGGTGCAGAATAAAGGAAAGGGGCTGCAATAGGGCTAAAGTCTTCCAAATATTGAGCAAAATTCCCCATTTCGTCTGAAATTTCCAAACATTGTTAACACCATAGGAGTATACTCGTACCCAGTAGTACTTCTGTCACTACGAGTATACTCGTGGCAAATGAAGGCTTCTGTAATGTTAATAAACAGAACACCAAAAAATAAGCTGCTGGCTGCCCCTTTAAAATTATGATTGGTAGTCAACGTGTTAAAAGAGTTTTGTATTTCACAAAATATAAACGTTTTCATTTTCCTTGAAATTTTCAAACTTATCCTGAAATTCCGTTTACAAAATGGTATTTTTAGTCCTCTTCTGAAATAGTTTGAATCCAAACCGTCATTGAATGGAGGAATTAATTTGAAATAAAGAGTAAATAATCGAACACTTATACAACTACGGTGCCCCGGGACGACATTTTCAAGTGAAACTTTCACTATAAATGTTAATTAATTAATTAAATCTGCACATTTAACCTCAGTGGCATGAAGGTTGTTTGATTTTGCAATACTGATGTTGTTCTTTTTCAATTAAATCAATTGCTGTCAATATTGAAATTTCATCGTTGTAATATCGACGATGAATCACGTTCATTGATGAATCAACATCATTGATCCATCCTTCATCTTCTCAATTTTAAGGCAGCGTACACGATTTGCAAAATCTTAAAAATGAGACGGTCGAATGATCTTTGGATTTCTTACTGTAAAGTAAGTAAATAATGATGTCAGACAATATTCCCGCTAGGAGAAAAGAGAAATTTAAAACATTTTTCCAAAGATCGTCCCGACGGATGATCTTTAGAAAATCAATTCATTCAAATAACGCAACCGTAACAGACGCATAAAAAACGTGTGCGATGCATCCGAAGAAGTCTATTTTAATGAGTAAAAATTATTAGAGCTACCAACGCGCTTTCGGTACGCCCAAACGCATTATCAAGTGATAAAATAGATAGGTCTATGCAACCGTATTAAAGTAAGAGGCTAAAAGAGAATTTGGATTTGTTTTAAACGAAGGTTTCGTTTGAAGAAAGAGTTTACCTCATACAAATATATCACCATGTTACTACCACCTGTTATGATAATAGCATGGTCCAAACGAAGCACACAGAGCAACATGGCCTTTCCTTTTCGAGCTGCAATTTATTTTCTTGTGGTGCCCTCTTAAAAAATGTTTGAACCCCCGGGTGCCCCCAGACACTTAAGTACTAGTCAATACGCCAGTGCTGATCGTGCGTTGACGGTTTTTGACCGATATACCGTATGACAAACCATGACGGTTTAATCCTGCATGTGTACATTGTAAATGTGTTGTGCCGTTACTTTGGTAGCAGCAGTCACTTCACTGCACGACGAAGTGTTGTTTATTCGACAAGTAAGTTAGCTTTGCATTGTTGAAGGGATTTACCAGCCACTGGCAATACTCAAAGCTGTGGAAAAAATTGATTTTTTTAGGTCTATAATTAATCTGCAGGTCGGCTTCACCTGTCTAGGTACTCTGGAACGTCCTGTGGCCCATGTATATTTGCAAGTCAAATTACACGAGCTGCGCTTTGAGTGTCCGAACTGAATAGCGCTTTTCTTGATTTCTCTCAAAACAGTGAAATAAAAAAAATAACAAGTTCATGGGAAAATACAGATAGTAAATAACTAACCCCCAGATCCGTCACTTTTAAAAATTTGCACGTACATGCTAATCACATACACCACCTTTAAATTATGTATTTTAGCAGTGTTGGATTGTTAGATGTTCCATTGGCAAGGAACAACACCAATATTGCTATAATTAAAGCAACGCTGCATGATACTATTGCGAAGGTTGAATGTGCAGATTGCGAAGGTAAAACGTTGGTGTCGAAAACCTCACTTAAAAATGTCGTGAGGACCTATCCCATGTCAATTTGTTTCATTTCATACTCAGGTTGGCACCCTAGTCCATAGTCTACAATTAGAAAGAGACATGACAGCACTGTATATCAGCTCTTTGATGCAGCAAAGCTTAACTGGTCCACAGCGCAAGATATTTTTGATTAACACCTATCCCCAAACCGACGAAATACTGGAGAACTTAGATGACTGGCCTGTTGCAGGAACCGTAGCTTACCAGCAATTTCAAAATAAGGAGGCGTTCATGTCCTTCTTGTATGAGTATCGTCTGACTTTCGACATCATCCATAACACCACTATCTATGAGGTATGGTTTGACAATAATCACTTATTTATTGCTAATGCACATAGACCACGCTGTTGGTTCCAAAAACTCAGAGGAACACGTGTACGTGTACGAGTCTCCAGCGCGGTATTTTCCCGACCCCTAAGGGGAATGAATTTCCACCGAAGAGGCAACGTATTTTTCCCAACATTACGTAATAGTCCAATACCTGCCCTCAGATTGGCTCAAGTTTTTACTTTCTCTGGCTTGTTTTTTGTTATTGTTCAAATATGCAACCTTCGTCGGTATTGAAGTTCCATACGAAATCTCCTTTCTCTCTAGGTAATTAATTTCTACACTGACGCTATTCAACTTTTTATCGACTGGTTGTATGAGAGTGTTGGGAAGTCTGGAGGTCAGGGCTTGTGGGAAACACTGGTAGCTTACCAACTGCTTATTGTCGGTATGGAACAGACCGGTATCGAACGAACCCTGGGGGCGGTCTTCTACACTCAAGGTGGCTTCGATAAACCAGCCGATTACCGTTGGTATATGGAGAAAATGCAGGTATAAGATGAACACTGTAAGGTCTCGCTGAGGCTTTTCAACGGTTACCAGAGAAAAAGACATGAAAATTGTCACCAATCTAGCAAAACGAGGTTTTAAGGCGGTCAATCATATGCATGTATGACTTCGTGGTTGCAAGTAGGGAATAAAAAGCTCATGAACTTTCCTTAAAGGGTAGCTGCAATGAATGTTTTTGATTACAAACCTGTAAAATGCACCCTTGTGCCTCAGCAATTCTTATCTGGTTTCACTATTTCAGACGGAATTTTAATGCCTTTTTGGTTTTATGCTAATGAATATTTGCATAGGCCTATTCATGAGCAAAACTACGATGTCATCTTAGGAAGCAGCCTCAATGTTACATTGGTTTGTACACTCACTAAGTTCTCTCTTCTTTACTGATTCATTGTTGTTTATGCGTTCAGCAATAAGAAACCATCAATCCCTCTTTCAGAAATGTTTTCAGTTAATAAATTCTGGGTTCACAATTTGAACAGAAATACCTATGCACTGAACCATGTCTTCCGTAGATGACTTCATAGCAACAGCGCCCTCAGTTGTCCGGAAAACATGGATAAGTTTGATTATCTAAAAGTGCGCATTTTTAATGCACTCAATAATATAGGAGTGTGTAATAGTTTTCATGCATTGACGAAAAGTACAAAGATGCTGAAAAAACGTGCTCAAGAGAAATTCATTGCAGCTACACTTTAAATGTTACTATTCAGCATAATGACAGATCACTTTTAAAACCTTAAAGATTGTATTCAATTATTCTCACGTTGCCCGTTATTATGACCTAAGGCTGATATACACAAGTATAACATGTACAAATGCTTTGCTACTTTGTATAGTAACTTTACCTTGTTTCTTATTTATACACAGGTTGGAAAAAGCAACATTTGGGCGTCTCAGAAGTACTCAGATCTTGTGAGAGAAATTCTTCAGGGTAAGGTGCAAGAGTTCGAGTATGATTACGAGGAAATAATCAGCGCCATGCGAGAAGAAATCTCGTACAACAATGCTTCCCGTGAACCCTCCTGGCAAGAGGGTATATGGTGGTTTGACAACATGACCATCTACATCGACACTCTTAAGGATATTCAAAGGAAAATGGCCGAGGTAGGGTGACTTTCAAAAAACATTAACTTATAGTCATTTATAGTATACGAAGAACATAATGGGTCAAATTTTTTCTTGGTTCCAAAACCTTCCAGTAGTATATTCAGCGACACGAATCATCAAACTGTTAATATTACAGGGCGTAATCACCAGACGAATCGCTATCACAGGAAAGTCTTGGATATATCATTTAGTCTGAGACAATAACAGACTACGCTACTAAGGTGGAATGTGCATTATTCATATCACGTGAGTGATGACTGTGGAAGTTATGCAAATGACCTTGAACATGCTTCGCGTCCACGAACGACGTTTTCAAACTGAAGGATCAACCAACTCACGGTGAACATGTTTTTTGCAAACCGACAGACTACCATAAAATTTCATTCCGTAAATGTTCATCTGCGTACGAGACCGCCGTATTGCACTTCGTGTGGGCCTATTATAATTGTTCGGATGTGATGGGTCAATTTTTTTTGCAGGATATAAAGATTTTTTTCGTTGAGTCAGGTGATATTTCAGTTTCGACAAATTGATATGCTAGCAGATACTGTCAAAGGCCTTATCTGTGTTGATTTTTTGAGACATAATTCGGCGACAAATATTTCGAATTCTAACATTTTAGGGGGCATGTGACCTATTGGTTAAGGTTTTTAGCTTCTGATCATAGGATTGGGGTTCGAATCCAGCTGGTTGCAGTATGTTGCGATCTTGGGCAAGTCACTTTAACCCCACGTGCGCCTCTCCACCCAGGAGTAAAATGGGTACCTGTGAGGGCAGATCAGCTGGTTTAGCCGTAAGCACTTAAAAGGCAGCATCAGCTTTTGTATACTCCTCATAGAGCTGAAACGGTTTCAGGAATACTTAGTTGTTGTGAGCCCAATGCGCAGGAATAATGATAATGATGTACCTTGAGCACCCAGCAGGGTGGGAACGTGTGCAATATAAATCTTAATTTGTGTATTATTTTTGCTTGTTATTTTTCCTATCTAAGGGTTCATGAAGCGCGTAATAAGGGGTCAATTTACAGGCTCTATTCTAGGTTGAGTGACGTCATAAATGTAGTGTAATTCCCGGGGACGGGAGAAAGTGAGGCGGTGAGGCCAAATTTTGGGGTTCCTGTGTCACTCTCAAATTTTGGTTTATTGGAGATCTCCTTGGCTCAT